GTAGAAGTGAATCATTTACTGCTTGCAAACCAATGATGGTAAGATGATGTCAGGGGGTAGGACTGGATAAGTCTGACTTCTTCCTACTCCATTCAAGCATGTACTAGGTATAAGCAAATTGATATTGGATTAGCATTTGTTGGATATGTGTAAAATTATGTGTGTTGACATATCAACTGTCTTTACATGCTTGAAAGAATATATAAATCAAATCAAAATAAATCAAAATCAAATCAAGAAAATGATAAAAAGCAGCATATATTTGCATCACTCCTCCTTGTTGTGCAAGTCAGCAACAAACAAAACATTTGGGAAGAAAATGTGATTCCACTGGATCAGTACTGAGGGAGGAACAGCTGATTGGTGCATCTAGTATTAGATACAGTGCCTTGCGAAAGTATTCGGCCCCCTTGAACTTTGCGACCTTTTGCCACATTTCAGGCTTCAAACATAAAGATATAAAACTAATTTTTTGTGAAGAATCAACAACAAGTGGGACACAATCATGAAGTGGAATGAAATTTATTGGATATTTCAAACTTTTTTAACAAATAAAAAACTGAATAATTGGGCGTGCAAAATTATTCAGCCCCTTTACTTTCAGTGCAGCAAACTCTCTCCAGAAGTTCAGTGAGGATCTCTGAATGATCCAATGTTGACCTAAATGACTAATGATGATAAATAGAATCCACCTGTGTGTAATCAAGTCTCCGTATAAATGCACCTGCACTGTGATAGTCTCAGAGGTCTGTTTAAAGCGCAGAGAGCATCATGAAGAACAAGGAACACACCAGGCAGGTCCGAGATACTGTTGTGGAGAAGTTTAAAGCCGGATTTGGATACAAAAAGATTTCCCAAGCTTTAAACATCCCAAGGAGCACTGTGCAAGCGATAATATTGAAATGGAAGGAGTATCAGACCACTGCAAATCTACCAAGACCTGGCCGTCCCTCTAAACTTTCAGCTCATACAAGGAGAAGACTGATCAGAGATGCAGCCAAGAGGCCCATGATCACTCTGGATGAACTGCAGAGATCTACAGCTGAGGTGGGAGACTCTGTCCATAGGACAACAATCAGTCGTATACTGCACAAATCTGGCCTTTATGGAAGAGTGGCAAGAAGAAAGCCATTTCTTAAAGATATCCATAAAAAGTGTCGTTTAAAGTTTGCCACAAGCCACCTGGGAGACGCACCAAACATGTGGAAGAAGGTGCTCTGGTCAGATGAAACCAAAATCGAACTTTTTGGCAACAATGCAAAACGTTATGTTTGGCGTAAAAGCAACACAGCTCATCACCCTGAACACACCATCCCCATTGTCAAACATGGTGGTGGCAGCATCATGGTTTGGGCCTGCTTTCTTCAGCAGGGACAGGGAAGATGGTTAAAATTGATGGGAAGATGGATGGAGCCAAATACAGGACCATTCTGGATGGAAACCTGATGGAGTCTGCAAAAGACCTGAGACTGGGATGGAGATTTGTCTTCCAACAAGACAATGATCCAAAACATAAAGCAAAATCTACAATGGAATGGTTCACAAATAAACATATCCAGGTGTTAGAATGGCCAAGTCAAAGTCCAGACCTGAATCCAATCGAGAATCTGTGGAAAGAACTGAAAATTGCTGTTCACAAACGCTCTCCATCCAATCTCACTGAGCTCGAGCTGTTTTGCAGGAGGAATGGGCAAAAATTTCAGTCTCTTGATGTGCAAAACTGATAGAGACATACCCCAAGCGACTTACAGCTGTAATCGCAGCAAAAGGTGGCGCTACAAAGTATTAACTTAAGGGGGCTGAATAATTTTGCACGCCCAGTTTTTCAGTTTTTTATTTGTTAAAAAAGTTTGAAATATCCAATAAATTTCGTTCCACTTCATGATTGTGTCCCACTTGTTGTTGATTCTTCACAAAAAATTACAGTTTTATATCTTTATGTTTGAAGCCTGAAATGTGGCAAAAGGTCGCAAAGTTCAAGGGGGCCGAATACAAGGCACTGTAGTTTGATGTAATTATCATTGCAAATGGGATCAAAATGATGGTAACCTCAATCTCACACCAGGGGTCTATTATTAACCTTGCATATTATTACTGCATCTTCTCATTATTGTAATTAGGTTAGTTGAGTTTAATTAAACAAACTCCACTGCCCCCTTGTTACATGCTTGTAGCTGTGTATACTATACACTGAGTCTAACTGTAGCTATGTGATGAAGAACAGAAGGACTGTGGTGTTTGTGGACTGAAACTAACACACTGTGCACAGTGATGAAGTGGCTCTAAATGTATGTCTGACAACAACACATATAAAGGACTTTGTGCCTGTTTTCATATTTTAAGTGGTTTCCAAAGTCACAAACAAAGCACTACTTGCATTAATAATACTGCGTGCGATTTATGGTCTACAGACAGATCCTGCAGCCGGGTGTGTACCTCACTGCTGAGCTGAGTCTGCTCCTTGGCGTGTTGAGTTTCTTTAGTCTCTGGCAGCTTAGAGTACAGGCTGTTAACCAGCTCCTTCTTACCGGCCTCCTTGTATTTACTCTGGGAAGAACAACAGCAGCAACAATATTAAATCAACACCTGCACAGTGACTCAGTACACACACACCCCAGACCACACTGTGAAGAAATCAGCATCACGACAGGTCAGTTCTTACTCATCAAGTCCTAAAACCTCATCATAACTGCATGAAGGGACATTATAGCACAAGTGAAGTCATGTTTCTTATGTATACTGCTACTTCTAATTAGTTTACTGTGAACTAGTTTTAATTTCTTATTGTGGCTTGGTTTGTTCGGTTTGTTCTCAAGTGTTATTGACTTTTATTGAGCTAATTAGGTATTTAAAATATTTAAAACTGTTTTCCCAGATGGTTTTGCATAATAGTCTTCTAAACAGAGTAACGGGCGAATGAAGTCGCATGTTAGTGACACGTGGCTAACAAAGCGAGTGTAAACATCCTGAAGAGAAGCATAGCATTGCAGGTGTTTTGATTCCAACCGCATGACATGATGTAGGTTCAGAAACTTGATCATCAGTGCTGAATCACTTGGTACCTTATTATTAAACCTCAGGAAGACACCTGCTATTCCAGGCAGTCACATGCTGAGACATGAACACCAACATAGAGAGAGTTTCCCACCTTGCTGTGCATCTCAGCCATCTCTTTAACGAACTGAGTGTCCAGAGTCTCAGGCAGCAGAGAGTACAACGTGTTGGGCAGATCCTTTTTGTCCTTTTTGTACTTGGTCTAGGAGTCACACAACACACAGAAACCAACAACACATGCAGTCATACTGTAGCTACACATTTTCAGTGACAGTCGGAAATCAATGAAAATATTTAACAAGATATTTTTTCTGTGTAGATAAAAACATGACTGAATTTAATATTGAGCGTCTCACCTCACTCTGAAATTCAGAGACCTGCTTAACAAACTCGATCTCTGTGGTCTCGGGCATCTGGTGGAAGACACTGCTGCTGATCTCCTGTCTGCTTTTCTGCTTGTATTTATTCTAGAACACATGTTAAGACAGACTGAGATGGGCAACAAATTACTGGGTGACAACACAACATAAAGTGTGTCAGTGAGGCGTTTGGCCACCACATGCCAAGGTGAAGCTGTTCTGCTGGCATTGACCTACAACCTCCCATAGGTGTTCAATGGGGCTGAGACCTGGTGACTGTGACGGCCACAGCGTATGACTCACATCATTTTCACTCTCATCAAACCATTCAGTGACTCCTTGTGACCTATGGACGGGGGCACTGTCATCCACTCATTCATTCAGACCTTTCCCTGTAACTTGTCACCCTTCCATAAATATACAATGTAAATAAAGATAAAACCATACAGTGTTTGCAACACACAGTGAAGTTTTCTAGTGTCATTTACTCCTAAAGTTTGATTGATTCTTATCTAGGAGTTAAAACTAACTGTCCCAACACAGCCTTTCAGCGTCCACCCACCTCACTCTGAAGCTCCATGGCAGCTTTAGCCAACTTCATGTCCTCTGTCTCTGGCAGCAGAGAGTACAGGCTGGTGATCAGGTCCTTCTTAGACTTTCTGTACTTTACCTGGAGAGGACAGAAAGGACAGGAAAGGTATGAGACTGACAACAGGATAAAGACTTAACTCTCCTCTCTCTAATGTCTTTTCAGCCCAGAGGTTCTAGTGAGACTCAAATCAAACTGACACCATAAGCTGGTCCTCTCTGCCCCTCCCATCACATCCTATTTTCTAGCAAAGACGTAAACTACGGATGCCTGGTTGGGACAAACCGCACAAACTGCAGTCTCCAGTCTGAAGCTAGTGTTAGCTGGCTAACAGTAACTGTGTCAGTCCTGTAGAACTCTGGTTATTACTGATGTGACACAAAGCACTGACGTTACACAAAGCTCCAGTTCCTCCCAAATTAAAATCATATTAATTCAACACAAAGGTAAAATCCTGACCATGCTAGGTGCACACTGTTTTGAGAGGACCTGAAGTCCATCGTGGAGCCAAAGGCTGGGCCCCACATGTAATTCGCCAAATTTTATGAAAAAAAAGGGGTGTAAGGTTAGAGCATGTGTTGACTTTGGTTAAGGCTAGTCAAGCAGTAGTTCTGGTTAGGGTGGGTGCCCTGTAAATGAATATAAGTCTATGTATGGACACTGTAAGTGACAACCACAAGGATGTGTGTATACCTGACTCTGCAGCTCAGCTGCCCCTTTAGCATGTTGAGTGTCCAGAGTTTCAGGTAGCTGGTGGTACAGACAGGTGGTTGCCCTCTTCCTGCTTACCTCCTTGTACTTGGCCTAAAGACAACATCAGCTGTTATTGTGGCTGCTGTTTCCACCACATGCCCCCATTTCAGCTCATAGTCGCATGTTAGCAGGTGCTGCTGCAGTGTCATGTCTGCAGTTACACAATAACCTGCTTATTTGTTGTTCTGCTGCACTTCTCAGCAGTCTGTCAAGGACAAACTCTAAAACATGGACATTTTCTTTCTTTTCCTTTACTGAACAGTTACAAGTATGCTGTTGCAGCTTCTGGCTGCTCAGAGATAATTCACTCTTCTCCACCCGTGTACGTAAAGACATTCATTACCGATATGTGTTTATGCTTATTAATGAAAACTAAGATATTAAATTAAACAAAAATCTATAAAATGAAATGTTTATAATTCACTTCAATTGGGTTTAATTGGACAATTAAGCCATTTGTTTTACTGTTTAGGTCGCCGGGTAGCTCAGTGGTTAGCACTGTCACCTTACATCTATATAATTTAGTGAAATAAAGCTATAAAGGATCAGGGAAGAACAAATAAACCAAATCAGTTATCGTCATTTCTGACCTCACTCTGCAGCTCGGTAACAGCTTTGGCAAACTGGACTTCATTGGTCTCTGGCAGCTGAGAGTAGAGACTATGAGAGACAGTCTTGATCCCGTCCTCTTTATATTTACTCTGGAGAAGACGCAGAGACAGACAACATCAGCTACATTCAGTCATCAGAAACATCACAGAGAGACAGAGAGAGAGAGACGGGGGCCATGTGCTAACATCCTCAGGTGTGTGTCTGTGCAAGATATCTTCACCTTGCTCTGCAGGTCAGACATCTTGGCGGCGAGCTGCGTCTCTGTCGTCTGTGGCAGCTGAGCGTACAGACTGGAAGACATCGACTTCTTCCCACTCTGCTTATACTTGTTCTGAAAGAAACAGGTGGAACAAAACAAGGTGAGATGAATTCAGACAGTCCTCAGCTTCTGCTGCGTTTAACGCAGCTTGAAATTCACTGTGTGCAACACTGATATGTGTTACCAAATGTTATGATTTTCTGCTTTTCTTTCTTCATACTGTTGTAACTTAATCATCCTGTTTCAACCGGCAGTAAAACTATGTGTTACTAAATAACAGTTGACAGAAAAATCACAGATGAAAACAATCATTGCAGCCAAGTTTCCTAGACGTGAAACTCACTCAGTACATTGTGTGTGGACACTGCCAAACATACTGCACGAGCAAACACTTGGTGCAGAAGGACTAATAGTTAGTGAAAGAATGAATCAGATACTGGTGCTTTGCATCTAAACCAAGCAGAAACCTTGATGCTACACACATTTTATTTGAGTAAAATTATCAGGAGCCTAAAATAACAGTGTAAACATGACGCCACAGAAGAGGAAGCAACAGCTCTCTGCATATGATTGTTGCATTTTTGTTGAATAGCTGAGCTACAAACTGAATTCCAAATACCCATTTCAAAGTGTGAAACATCACTCGCTCATTAATTCTTTGACGAGTAATGTTGGATTCGGTTTGAGCTTCTCTCTGCCTGAAAAATCAAACACAGTTGTTGCAGAGTGGAAGCAAGACAACTCACATCCGTCTGCACCTGAGAAAGTGTTTAAACCCTGAAACATGTGAGCACCGTGAGACTTACTGCCACACAGTAGCTCACACGTGAAGCCAAGGAATCGGTCTTTAATGTTTTCATGCTCAAATATTAACCACAATAAAAGGTGAATAACAGAGGTGTGCACCTCGCTCTGCAGCTCAGTCACTTCTTTAACACGCTGCGTCTCCAGAGTCTCAGGCAGCTGGTGGTACAGAGAACTGCCGGCCTCCTTCTTTACTACCTCCTTGTACTTGACCTGCAGGAAAAACAAACACCACACTGGGACAGATCACGACATGTCTGCAGCATGTTTTAATGCTTGTCAACCATTTCTCTTACAGCTGCCCTAGCTGGCTTTTATTCATGAACAGCCTTTCATATCACTTGCTTTGAAAACAAATATTAATATTGTTGCTTCTGTCTGAAGATGCCAAATTCACATAAAAACCAAAACCCAGGGACTGAATGTAAAGAGACACTAGAGGAAAACAGAGAGAATGGGATGAGAAAAAGTTGATACAGTTCTCAGAGTAACTCTGTTCAAAAGCAATAGAAACCCTGTGAATGTGTTTTTGCAGTACAGGAGGAGCAGACAGAGATGGAGGCAGGTATCCAGCAGCTCTGAATGTGTCTCTGATAACAGGACCAGAATAGACAGCAGCAGCCAGTTTATCTGCGATGTGTTAACATACTGGAGTGTTTGAGACGGGGCTCACACATCTAACTATGTCCCCAAGGACGTTTCACTGATGTACATACATTCACTAAAGACTTCACCTTCAAATGTGTTATTGTGTATGTCTTATGATCAGCAACCTGCCAGAAAAAGCCTAAACTATCAGTGTGTTTGTCAAACACTGTCTGACTCTCCAGTCCTGACTGTGGCCCTCATCTTCAAGCCCACTGGTTCCTTCAGAATATGCACATGAAGAGATATTTGGCCAAGTGAGTATTTGGGGCAGCAGGGCAGTATCAGGGGCTCACTGATGTGTTTTTAATTGCTTTTTTTTGACAATGGCACAGATGAACACACAAAGGTTAAGTCACAACATGACCAATTACAGTCAGAGTTCCCACCTCGCTATGCGTCTCAGCCATCTCTTTCACAAACTGAGTCTCCAGAGTCTCAGGCAGCAGAGAATACAACGTGTTGGGCAGATCTTCTTTGTCCTTCTTGTACCTTGTCTTGAGATGAAAAAGAAAAAACAATCAGAAAAATGAAACAAATGGTTTATTAGGACAATCATTACATCTTCCTCATTTCTTGTCAAACCACAGTATTCTGGATGACAACACACTGCCTCAGCTGTATGTGTATTTACATTATGTTCACAAAGAACTACTTAATCTAACACAACACAAGCTACTAGCAAAAACAAGAAAAGTCAATTATTTATCCATCTCTGAAAACTAAACAATTCATAATTGTATTTATTAAAATTATTTATGCAAAACAAACAGTGAGATCCTGGCGGACTGTCGGGCAGCAGAGTCCCCGTGTGAGGCGTTCAGGGTCCTCACCTCGCTCTGCATCTCTGACATCAGTTTGGCGAACTGCGTCTCTGCCGTCTCAGGCAGGAGAGAGTACAAGTTCTTACTGAGCTCCTTCTTCCCCTTGTCTTTATACTTCACCTGGAGCACAGCACAGAGCTTAATGTACTACATGTACCACACAGATACCCAGCGAAGGTACGTAGAACATGGGTGTGCCCTTCACCTCACTGTAAATGTCCCTCAGCTCTTTAGCCAGCTGTGTCTCTGTGGTTTCAGGCAGCTGGTGGTACAGAGAGCCACTCGCCTCCTTCTGACTGTCCTGCTTATACTTCACCTACACACACAAAACAAAGGGAAAGTACACAGCATTAAGCTTTTCCAGCTTTCAGCTCATTAACATAACCTGTACAAAAAATCCAAAGGTAGATATATATTCCAGTTACTTCTGGGAGGATCTGAGAACAAATCAGAGCTTGAAGGTGTGTTTTTATTCTAACTGGTGTTGTTTATCCACCTATCTACAGAAGGCTAAAAATAAAGACACTTTTACAGCAACATTTTCCATCTACTGTCAACTGAATGCAGCCATGTGCTTGAACACACCACACAGCATCCGTACACACCTGACTCTGCAGCTGTGAAACCTCTTTAGCATGCAGCATGTCCAGAGTCTTGGGCAGCTTTGAGTACAGACAGCGGGACATGTCTTTCTTCCCAGCCTCTTTATATTTGGTCTAGAAAACAAGCCATGAGCCACTGAGTAGAAATAACACTGAGATTTGAGTGTATAGTCCATTATCTTTCATTAACGTCAGGCTGTCCAAACTGGAATAACAGCCTCACTGATGAAGAATAAATATCTACAAGAACAGGAGAACAAACTTATCAGACCTTCCTTCTTACAGACGGTGGTTCCAAGTCATTCAGATTCAGCACGTGACTGCAACTTGATCATAATCATATCCTGTAATTAATAAATAAACACCTTACCCCACTTTGTATCCCAGAGACGGCTTTGGCAAACTGGACTTCATTGGTCTCTGGGAGCTGGGAGTAAACACTGACAGTCTGGCACCTCTTCCCTCTTTCCTTATACTTGTTCTAAAGAAGACAAGACAACAGGACAGTTATCAAACCCTCTGATGTAGTTTGTATGGAATGTTAATGTGTGCTTGCTGTAGGTGCATGGCTTCTCTGAAATGCACAGCTTACACTGTAAACTGATATCTGTTTTATTTTTGCAGTCACAATGTCAGGATGATTCTTCAGTAGCAAAAACTATAAATACTAATGTTTCTCTTTTTGGCCAGAAACACACCAAGTTGATGAGTGTCTGTCAGGGCTTATTCTCCTGGTGTAGTTCTTTCACATCGGCTTGATGTGCCTCCGCCCTTGAGTTTTATTAAACGCTGCATAGGAGGGTGTGTTTTTACCAGCCTTTGTCTGTTGGTTTGTTCATAGCATAACTCAAAAAGTAATGAAAGGATTTGGATCAAATGTTGTGGAGAGGCAGGGTATGGCCCAGGGAACAATCCTTTAGATTCTGGTGAACCAGAAAGGATGAAAATGATAACACATAAGGACCCGGGAGAACAACGGATACTTGAAGTACTTTGAAGAACTGTACCTCGCTCTGTATCTCAGTCAGCTCGCGGGAGAACTGGGTCTCAGAGGTTTCAGACAGCTGAGAGTACAGAGATGACATCAACTCCTTTCTGCCTTCATCTTTGTACTTTTTCTGTCAGAAGCAAAGAACCCAAGTGAAACTGCAGAATGTGCACAACATGATTCATCTACAGTAAAATCAGTCTTAAGTTTTTTTATGCCCACATTTCACCCATTAAAATGTGTTGACAGTTTTGGATTTATTTGTTCAGGTTTCGCCATAAGATTTCTGTCTTACAGACAAAAAAAACAACACAACTGTGACATGCCTCTCCAGAACCAGTCCCTTCATAGAAAACTCCTCTGTACTTTAACAAGGGTTCCCTATAAAAGTTCTGTTTACAAACTCATCATATTAAGTCAGACGATGAATCTAACTGATGTTGACGGGGTGTTACAGAAACACACTCACGTTACTCTGCAGTTCAGTTGCTTCCTTGGCATGTTTGGTCTCCAGAGTTTCGGGCAGTCTGGAGTACAGAGACGATGCTGCCTGCTGCCTCACTGCCGCCCTGTATTTCACCTAAACACACACAAAGTAAGCAACTGTGTTAACTACAAACACACTGCCCAGTGCTTTCTGAACTACTGTCCTTATCAGTTTTTCCTGAGACTGCTCATCATCCTGCCACAACTTAAAACTCTGTCCGCTGAGCAGCATCATCAGCCCTGCTTCCTATTGGCTGTCAATAGCCCTCATTCTCTAGATTTACAGTATCAGCTTCACACCCTGTTTGACTCTCAACACATTTAAATATACAAGACAGATGGAAGACACACTTAGCGACAGACGGTGACTATTGGAGTTAGTCCGTTTTCTGGTTTATGTTGCCTTGTATTAGCTGAAAAATGAACAGGTCCAGAGAGCCTGGAGCAGAGTTGACTAGGCCTCCTTATCTCTGAGCAGTCTATCTCTGTGCTTTAAACATCTGACACACTGCAGACCACAAACATGACGTACATCACACATACAGAAACAAACCATGACTGCTGCTATTAAAAGATCACAACAGGGCTGTGTCTGTTTTCACTACTGACAATGATTTTAGTTGTCTGTTTTAATCCCATGCATTACAGTATCGACTGATAAGACTCAGAAAACCTGGTGTTACATTACGAAGTTACCAACTGATGCCTGAATTGAACCTCAACAATGTTGTGTCTCCTTGAAACCGACAAGGAACCAGACCGAGAGAGCTTTCAAAAGTACAACTAGCCATCCTTCAATCACATGCTTCTTTCATTCACAATTTAAGAGCCAAACCAAAAAAACATACTGACATCATATGTGTACTGATCACACTTCCCTCCTGATCAGTACACACTGCATGAGTAAGCATGGAGTTCCCACCTCGCTATGCGTCTCAGCCATCTCTTTCACAAATTGAGTCTGCAGAGTCTCAGGCAGCAGAGAGTACAATGTGTTGGGTAGATCTTCTTTGTCCTTCTTGTACCTTGTCTTGAAATGAAAGAGAAAAAAAAAATCTGAAAAATGTAGGCAGATACTTTTGTGTTGAAAGAAAGCAGACAATCAGAGGAGAGTCTGCACCTCGCTCTGGATCTCTGACATGTGTTTGGCAAACTGCAACTCTGCCGTCTCAGGGAGGAGGTGGTAGAGGGAGGAGGACGCTTCCTTTTTACAGCCCTCCTTATATTTCACCTGGATCAAATAAAAACAAAGTATTACACAGGTCCCTATATCACACCACAGATTATACCCATCAGGCTCATGTTGCCAAGATGAAAACAGCTGTGTTAAGATGCATTCAGACTGAACAGAGTGGATGGAATTGGGTGTACAAGGTGGTAATTTTGCACTAAATGCAGTGTGACCCTCTGCTGCCTCCAGCCCTCCTGTTGTTCTTCTAGATTCTTCACCCTGTGTTGTCAAAGTACAATCTGTAAATCAGCACCACCTGCCACCTAGCCAAGGTTAGAAGGGTTTTTCCAGCCAGTATGGAGGAGTTCTGGGTGGCTAAAGGTCTGAACCAGCGGCTGCCAGAGTGAAGAGTAATATTAATGCTCTCTCAGCAGTCTTAAGCAAAGTCATTAATTTAGAAGGACTAGTTAGTGCTGCTGTGTTCAACGACGGAAAAAAAAGGAAAATAATTGCAGCATGTACTACAACTGTAACTAAACTGAATCAGGCTGCATGTACAAGCCCAAACTGGTGGCTGATCTATCAGACAGCTGTTACCTGGCTCTGGAGCTCAGTCACCTCCTTGGCCAACTCAGTCTGGAGCGTTTGAGGAAGGGTGGAGAACAAACTCGATGACAAATCCTTGTGCATGTCCTCCTTATACTTCACCTGCAGCAAATGCAGACAGTTAGACTGAGAACCACTACTCAGGATGAATTCTGTGTTGGTATACACTTTAACTCTACCACAGTTGCCCTTCATTGAGTTTTCATTTTCTTTGACTTTTGACCTGACACAGGCTTTGACATAATCTTAATTAATCTGCAGGTGTTCCTTATCCTTTCTAACATCGTTATGCTTGTAATTGTAGGTGAAGATTAGGACTTGGGTTTGCTTTATGTTCAAAATTAAGACAAAGATGAAAAACAGTAGAAAGGAACAGACCATCTTTTCTGGAAATACCAGAAGAAGTTGGTAAGTTTGACTCCTCTCTCATATCTGTCCTTTAAACAAAACACTGGTAACAGCACCCTGTTAGCTTAGCATAAACACTGGAAATGGGGGAAACAGCTAGTGTGGCTCTGTCCAAAGGTAAAAACTTACCACCACTTCTAAAGTTCAGCCATTAACATGCTGTATCTTGTTTATTTAATTTGTATGAGAGAGTGGTATTGATCTTCTCATGTCACTCCCAGCCAGAAAGCAAATAAATGTATTTCTTAAAATACCAAATAATTCCTTTAAGAAAGAGTTAAGTGTCGGTATACTGTGCCAATGGTCATTAGGGCAGGAATGTACTGTAGTATGAGTGTGTGTGGTGTGCTCAGTACCTGGCTCTGTATCTGTGAGGCCTGCTTGGCATGCTGAGTCTCCAGGGTTTCTGCCATCACAGAGTACAAACAGCTGCCGGCCTTCTGCCTTCCTGACTGCTTATACTTTGTCTGAAAACAAGAACATAGGACATTTAAGTACCTTTGTACAACAAGACATGTATTCATGCCGCCACGTTGGTGACAGCTGTGGTTGGACAGATGGTGTTTTCAGGTTGCTCGTGCATTCATCTGGTCCTTTCTCTTGATTTCAAAGGTCAAAGTCACAGTCATCTCACATCTGTGCCATTCTTGTGAACATAATATCTCAGGAACGCCTTCAGGGAATTTCATTACAACTTGACTTGGAGGCATTCAGTACAACCACAAATACAACCAGGAGTTCTAGTTTGTGTTATGAAACATTTAGAAATACAGCACAAAAACTATAGCTGTGTTTTGATTCTATGTCTCAGTCCTACTCAGACTCTACAGATTAAACCCATCCTGTCTGTCAAAATTAAATTCTATTGTCAGTGAGGTCATAAAAACTGTATCACAGCTGTGAAGACTAATTTACCACATTACCAGGATGTTAAACTTGGGATGGTAATGGGACTGTCATGTTAGTACCAATAGTCTCAGGGACTGACATATTCTTGCCCTTTTTGCTTTCCTTTTGTAGAACGAGCCATCAACTTCCTCTGTACAGTTAAGTATCTTAAATATTTCAGTAAAATTGCAGTGACAACTGAGGCACTGGTGTGCAGAGTTACACACACTATGTCTGTCTGCGCACTCACCTCGCACTGTAGCTCAGAAACACTTTTATCAAACTGAGTCTTAGTAGTTTCAGGCAGCTGAGAGTAGAGACTCCTAGACAGGCTCTTCATCCCATCCTCCTTGTACTTGATCTACAGCCACAGAGAGGAAACATCATTTGTAATATGATATTAATGATATCCACCCAAACTTTGACAGCAGATGGACTTCAGGCCAAAGTCTGACAAATGCATGACAGACAAATGTTGCAGCAGAGTGTTTGTACTGGCGACAGTAGTCACTCATTTATAATAGATTTGTTCGTTCTTATCTAAACACAGCAGCCCCCTGTCTGGTGCATCGCATCAGAAATCCACTGCATCAGAGCATCACAAGTCAACTCACGTTTTCCTGACAAACCACTGCTTCACTTTGAAGCCCTGTGTGTGGAACATGCTCCAAGCTGCTGATGGACACAACGTGACGTCACTGCCATGACAAAAACACATGCTGTACTGCATGTGCCACTGTATGAGTTTGATGTTGGACCATCATTCACATTATCTGGTGCTGTGTTTGAGATCGTTTGACTGGATCAAATGTGCCAGAACTATATTGTCAACTGCTGCAGAAAAAGCACCAACTCCAAGCCAAAATGGACGTTCTCAAGATGTTCAGAAAAAACGATATTTTATCTGAGGAAGATCAAGAATGAAATTTCAGTCTTGACCTGTTTCATGATAAGAGAGAATTGATCGAATTCAACAAACCTGGCTCTCAGCATCAAAAGTGTACATGTACAATTATTAATATACACATCATGGGGGAAGGTACATCTGTGCAACCTGACTGTGTAATTGGTCTGAAAATTATATGTTCAGGGCAAACAGCAAAGATCAGCTTGAGCGTTCTTTTTTTTTTTTTTTTTAAACGTGAACTGACGATAAAACTGAAGCAAGTGTTTCTATACGTCAGGCCAAGGTTGCTTTAGCTTTGTTAATGTGTCCATGTTGTTCAGTTTGGTGTAAAACAGTGTGGTTTTGTTGCTCTTACTTGGCTCTGCAGGTTTGTGAGCTCCTGGGCGAGCTGGGTCTCCAGGGTGTTGGGCAGCTGGTGGTAAACAGGATGTGCCAACTCCTTCTTAACAGCCTCTCTGTACAAAACCTAGATGACACAAATGGCATAAAAACATGGATGTTCACTGTGACTCTGCTAAAACTATTGGTACAAATTTTAGCTGGCTATTTTCTAGAGCATAAACTCAGTTTATCCAGATGTTTCCGTCATTCTGAACACTAAGCAAGAAGCTTGAAACATAAGAAAGATCATAGGGATTTAGTCTGGTGTGAGTTCCTGTGTTTAAGGATTGTGGTGAAGTAGCTGAGTCTCTGATATCACATGCTGGAACAAACATGCTTGCACCAACAATCACCAAAATATGTAAAGGCATGTATGTGTTAATCCAAACCTGACTCTGTAGCTGTGAAGCCTCTTTAGCGTGTTGTGTCTCCAGTGTTTCAGGCAGATGGTGGTACAGAGACACCGGTGTCTGTTTCTTACTGGCCTCTTTGTATTTAGTCTGGAAGACACAATGAGGAATCAAAGCCACTGAATGCCCTGCATCTTGTGCAAGGTTTTCCTCATTTGAATGCAGAATTATTAATGATGCTCACAACATGACCAAATTATTTGGTTGGACTTTGGGTGCAAATTTAACTGGTTAATCAACCTACTGTACACAGAGTCACTGAAAGAAGAAGCCCAAGTCTATGAAAGATTGGTGAGATGAGAAACAGCTGGGAAAACAAAGTAAAAATTACAGTGATTGAGCTAATTCTTCATTCCAGTCTCCAGCCTGGACCCACCTCACTCTGTATCTCTGTCAGCTCTTTAGCGCGCTGGGTGTCGATGGTGTCGGGAAGCAGAGAGTACAAGTTAATGCCCGTCTCTCTCCTACGGTCTTCTTTGTACTTGACCTTGTAATGAAACAAAGCACAGCCGGCGATGAAGCTTTCTGTGATGTGTTCATTCAGAAATTAGTTCTCAGGATTACAACTGAGGGAAAAAGAGCTGAACATCTTTTTAAATAAATTGTGGTGAGCACTTCTGTGAATTACATGCACAGCTATACAAAAGTTGTACCTCACTGAGCATCTCTGTCTGCTGTCTGGCAAACTGAGTCTCGTTGGTTTCTGGCATCAGGTGGTACAGACTGGATCTGTCTTTCTTCAGAGTCTGCTGGTATATTAGCTGCAGCAGATATGGTTAAAACATAAAATAATGTGAAATGATTTAGTTAAGTGAGAGCAGTGTATCTCCTTAAGTCTTTTTCTAAACATGGGTCACCCCTTGGTTTTGGTTCTTGCTCAGTTTTACACACTCAGCCACTTCATGAATCTAGTGTGGATTTAGGAAGTTATTTGATAATCAAACCAACTAACTGCATAAGCAAACAGATTAGAGACAGACTGAAATTTGATCTAAATTGTTAAGTGCAGCCTGCCCTGATTTACAGGAAAACTAAATGAACTGCAATCAGACATGTGAACTGGATGATGGAGATGCACATCAGTGGTTAGAAGTAAATGGTCTGCCATAGACTGATGGGCTGGTGTTGGAAGCTTTGTGAATATGTCCAGTTACCTGACTCTGCAGCTGGGAAGCCTCTTTAGCATGCTGCATTTCCAGAGTCTCAGGCAGAGTTGAGTACAGGCAGCTGGTCGCTCCCTTCCTTCCTGCTTCTTTGTACTTCATCTGTAACAGAACACAAAAAATGAACTTACCATTTCAAACTGATTTCAAACCTTCACCCATGTCTTCCTCTCTTAAAAAGCAGCTTTGTTGACTTCAAGTTCAACATCTGCATCAAAAATGTCAAAAGCCTTTTAATATAGAAATTGCTCCCAAAGGATTGAGACTTCAAATGTGCACAGAGCTACACTAGGATTCCTGTATTTTCCAGCTAATGTTAGTTTTAGTTGAAAGTGAAATGGTCATGTATGACAGACTGAAATATAGAGTTGTGTATCATCTGTGTAGCCGATTGTTTCTCCTGTGCTCAGATATAAAATGAGATACAGTAATACTCCAATGTACTCTTAAAATCTATTTACACTCAGTAGAAGTTTAGTATCTACTTTACATAAGGTGAGTGCATGAGAACAAAGTCTAGAAAGGGTATATTTCCATATATCTTTAGCAACAACATTCTATAAAATATACCATGGATGCATGGATTACTAAATGGGTTCTCTGGGCACAGGCCCGGGGGGCTCAAGCACTGGGTACTGAAGTACTTCTCTCCCTCACCTCGCTCTGCAGCTCCAAAACAGTTTTAGCAAACTGAGTCTCAGCAGTTTCTGGAAGCTGAGAGTAAAAACTCTGAGAGAGACTTTTCCTCCCACCCTCCTTGTACTTAGTCTGGAAAAATGGGGAAAAAGAGAGATGTTTGATTCAAGAACAAGGCAGTATTTTCAAATGCTGACACAAACAAAAAGGAATACAACTAGATTACAGGTCTGTAAACTCCAGTTTATTTCCAAATAATTTCCTGAGAGGTTTCCTGGAAGGAACCATATAATTTGGTACTAATTACAGGTATAACTAGAGAGTGATCCGTTTATACTTCCAACTGTTTCTAAATGCTAAGCTAGAACAAACTTGAGGCTTTAATACAGAGGACAGAAGGGGATGATAAATAAATCAGGGGACTAACTAAAAACAAATTAGTCTCAGAACTTTGACTCAGTTTTTTGTATATTAGCACCAAACTGCATGGCTCTTTACAGGACACTTTCAAGAAATTGTTAGGAAACAGCAGAGCTGTAAAATACAGAGAAGAGTAGAAACAAGTTTAGAAATCTGTGTGCATCTCAACACTGAGCAGCTTAAGGTCATAATCAGGTGCCAGGTGTTTTCCCTATTTCCTAGAAAGAATTGGTGAACATCAGGTTTCCCATGTTTGCCTGGTCCCAGATCAGATGCTGTTCCTGACTCTTCTCCAGTGCGATCTCTCTTTGACCCTGTCTCTGATGCTAATCTGGCCTCTGCCGAGTGTCTAAGGTATAAAGATCACTAAGCACTGGATAATGGGGCAGTGATTATTTCCAAATAGACAAACAAACAAGATGTTAACGCTGCACTTATCACAGTATCAGACAAACCTGGTAAAAACCCACTGGAATGAGCTAACTGCTGCCCAGCATCACAAACTAATGCATGGAGAGGTACCGTACACTGTGGTCACAGGAACTAGATTCTGCTCTGTTCAGAGATTTGGCAGTGGAGTGAGGGATCCATGTCAGCCCACCTCACTCAGCATGTCTGTCATCTCTCTGGCAAAGCGGGTTTCTGAAGTGTCAGGCAGCTTGGCGTAGTGAGAGCTGGACATCTCCTTCTTCCCGCTCTCCTTGTACTTTACCTGTTGAAGAAGAGCATCAAAAAGCAACTGATGATGATGGAAGAAGTGCTGAGGTAAAAGGGAAATGTTCCCAGTGATGTGACAACTCATACATTTCACATGTATTTCTCTGCTGCATAGTGGTGGTAGAAGCAAGCTACAGGTATGTGCCAAAAAATTAGAATATCGAGGGAAAGTCCATTTATTTCAATAATTTGTTTCAAAAAGTGAAACTTGTATGTTATATTAGTTCACTACACACAAAGTGAAATATTTCAAGCCTTTATTTGTTTCAA